TAAATACCACAATTAATCGTGATTAATTTTTTTGCCAATATTGCCCAACCCTAATTACTACCAACCTCGACACTTCAGACATACGGTATCGGAAAGACTAATCATTAAAAAAATCGGATTATATCGGGAGCCAAAAAATCTGGATCAGGACATCCCTAGTAAAATGTAAAGCAAGTAGAACAGCAGGAGAAAAAAATGGAAAAATTTAAATGATTTTAACTCAAAGAGGAGGACAACTTTAACAATGCAGCTCAAATCCAATGTCCAAATGCCAAAATTTTGTTTTGCAGTTACCAATGCGCATGTTTGAAGTCAGTATGTTGCAACGCATTATGCTCTAAATATTATGCCTACGTTTCAGCTGTGCTCTGTAGTCATCTGGCAACGCTGCACATTGAGGACATTTCACTATCACTATGTAAAATACAAAAAAAAAATACATTTTTAAGTGTATTTGTACATAAAAAAGTCAATATAAAAAGCAGGTATGAAGGACCAAAAGACAACAGAGTTAAACACCGACCTTGAATACAGGAAGTTGCACAATGCCAGACATTTATGCACAATCATTTGTATTTGGAAAATAACCAATAATACATACATCTTGATAAATGTAAAGGCCCTGTCATACTAGACAACTTGTGCCAACTTATGTACATTTTAAAGACATCTACATTGAAAATGGAATTGAAAAAAAAAAAACAGGAAGCTTCGTTTCGGCGTTTACATAACGTAATTTGAACAAAATGATCAAACATGTAACTTTTATTAGCAATTTAGACATGAAAAAGTTTCATAAGTTGRCATAAGTTGTGTAGTGTAACAGGGCCTTGACCAGAAGTACCTGTGCAGAGCCTTAACAAGCTCTGCACAGAAGCTCATCTTTTCCACCAATCGGAAGTATCGACTGATATCACAAAATTAAGAAAATCTGTGCCTCTAACTCAACAATACAACCGTTATTGATCTCTCACAAGTGTTAACTAACGTGGAAAGTTAGCTCTGGTTTGTTTATCCTACTGGGATGGTGGGACAGTGCCCAGTGCAGACATTGCAAGTGCAATGTCAGTTGGGAACGATGTAGCCTAGCCCAGTGGTTCCCAAACTTTTTATCTTCTGACCCACAAAATCTCCATGGCAAAAACTTGGGACCCCAAATATTACTGGTCTGAGTACACGAACTTCGTTAATAACCCTAAAAACACAGGCTTTTTGGCAATCTAAACAGCTTGTACACAAATATAAATACTTATTTATACTTATTTTGTGTTTTTATAATAGTTATAGGGAAAATCTAACATCAGCAATTATTTTATTACCCTTTAAATTGATTTCTGGAGATTATCCAAGGTGCTTCATGACCCATAATTGGGTTCCAAGCCCAACTTTGGGAACCAAAGTGCAGTGGTTCCCAAACTTTTCAGCTTTTGACCCACAAAATAACAGTAACCTGAGCCCCCTACTATTTTTGGATGGTAAACATTTGTATCAGGTCAACTAAACATGGGCATAGTAACAATATTTTTATACTACATTTATCCATTTTAAATACACTAACCTCACTCCTTTGTAACAACTAAGGCAAAAATCTCAATTCAGAAAATCTTTTCAGGACCCCACCTTGATGTTTCAGGACCCCACTTTGGGTCCCGACCCCAACTTTGGGAAATACTGGCCTAGCCTATTTAAAGTCGGCATCGTTAGCTATACAAAAATGAAATGGCTTGCTTCAGTTAGCTACTTGTTCAGCGTCATTACCATGTCCTTACAAACATACAGAGAATGACTGACATATACATATGGAGGCTCTACGCAAAAGTGAACAAAGATGAGCTAAAACCTCTCTCAACCAGTCTKAACACTAGGGTTGGGCAATATTGGCAAAAAAAAATAATCACGATTAATTGTGGTATTTAGCCGATAACGATTAATTTGACTATTAATCCCCCGGAGTCCCTGGACACCCTTATATCCTAGTCACATGACCAATTTATAGGGTGAAAATTGGCTCTTTGTAAAAAACTGTTCCAATTTGTGTCAAAATTACAGACTTCAGGCTATACATCAAACTTTAAATTGTGTTGATAGATAAATAAATTACACAACTTTTTATAATGTTTGTTATATTTGAAGCAGAGAGGAGCACCAAGCAGTTAGTCTGCCTGGTGGCATTAATCGTATTAATGGTCAAGTGCCAAAAATTAATCGATTAATGTTTTTCTGACGATTAATYRCACACSATACGATTATGCCCAACCCTACTGAACACTAGCTATAAATACAATACAGAATTATTACACTAATAGCTGTAGCAAAAGGGTGGGCTACGAATTTAAATGTGCAAAAAAAAAAAAATCCTCAAAGTATCTTTCCCCCCTCATATTATGAGATTTGRAAAAGTATCCCGTAGTGGGGTTTACAAACGAGCAAATTATTTTGGGTCAGTGCCAAAATACTTGTTTTCTCGCGAGATTAGCTAAAAGTGTGAGGCAGCTGCTCCAGTGCAGCTACTGGTAAAGGAGCAGTCCCACACTTCCTTAGTGGTATCCCACAGCACACAGCGAGCAGATCCCACACCAGGGTACCAACAGCASCGTGTCCCCAGCATGATGGTGGGGTTCAGCCCGTACACACCCCTGGCTGTCCGTCGCGTTCTGCCTCTGACTGTAAACAAAGGACTCCGACWCCATCTAGGTCGACAACAGGGATGTGCATGTAACACAAAATACCCCGGAGGAAATCCAACACACAAGTCACAAACCACCTGGTGGGACACACTGGCACCAAACTGGCGATAATAGCCGTCGGTGTCGCTCCGCCACGTCCCCCCGCCATCTTGGACAGCCAGCCATTAACGTTACCCCCACTTCAACGTCTGTCATCTGGTTCCTGCGTGCTCCACGCGCACATAAACCCCCACGAAGTCACAATTGAGTGCGTGAAATAAAACCCGTTCGTGTCAAAGAAAAGAGACCATTTACGGCGTCGTTCTCGGGTGAAAGCGACGCCGAGCGTTGCGGGCACTAACCTGGCCAAACAACGTCAATGGCCGGGCTGCACCCCCCCTCCCCTGCAGCAGCTACGCTTCTCCCCACCATAACCCTCACAGACACACAAAAAAAATACCTCCTAACTGTTCCTGCTCACTCAAATCTGATTTTTTTTTTAGCGTTTACGATAACGTCAGAGAGCAACAACAAAAACTTTTCTCATTAAGGTCTGCAGGACAGAAAACCATGACGACATTTGTGTTGTCGGAGGGGCACAATGAGCAGAGCTGCTTGCAACAGAACCGGGAAGGGCGGTTGCCTCGTGAGCTAACACACCGTAAAGCGGCTGGGTGAATCAGGAAAGCTGCGTTTTCGCCCAAAAGGCCAGAACAGGTAGCCCGCAGGTGCAGCCAGGGTTCATCCGGACCAGAGCTGCTAACCGCGGCTAAGCCTGGCCTTGGTTTAGCCGAAGCGAGTGGGCTCCTCGCGTTTGACCCAGCTCCCCCCCACCACCACCACTTCCAGAGGAAACTCACAGCCGAGCACGGGCCGTTTAAAAAGCCACGAGTGAGTCCCGCGAATGAGGGCGTTGAGAAATATATATGCAGTTAGAATAGCTACCTTCATCAACAGGGCCTTCGTTCTGGCGCCATCTTCATGAAGCTTCTGAAATCCAAACAGTGAGCTGCAAAACCAAGAAGACAACACAGGCGGTTCAGTATCGGGGGCAAAATTCGGGGACATTTTTTTTTTCAAACGTGCAAAAACACAAGAAAAAAGCTATTCATTTTTTTTAAACTAAGCGTGTGAGTGCACGGAGTCGGAATCCCGACCTGTCGATCCCGGCCAAAGTGTCCCTCTCCTGGGCTGTCAGTGTCGGAAAGTCCTCCTCTGTTTCACTCGCTTTTCCCGCCGCCATTTTCTTTCCCTCATCACCAGCAGAAGAAGAAGCCGAGCCGAGACTCCGAGCGGCAGCGCAGGCGGCGGCGGCGAGAGACACACGGCACGATTGCATGGGAAAAACCCTTCTCCGCTCCGCCGGAAATCACACGAGGAGAACTGAAGAAAACAAAACGATCAAAAACTTTTTCCCAGGATGATAAGATGCGATTCGATGTAGTAAATCCGTTCGGAGGGGGGGGACTCTCGAGCGCTCTCCAGGTAGCTCCTCAAACGTCACATTTTGCATCTCAAAGTGAAAGTCGCAACGCACGTAACAAAGCCGGACATCCAAAAAAAACGTGGGTATTTGGCAATAAAAATGCGTTTCGGACGCGAAGATAAAGTTATTATAAATGTGAAACCCAAGCGAACCCACGCGCCGCTATAGCCCCGCCCTGTCCCCTCTTCTTAACCAATCACAGCGCTCGATTCCCAGCATCTGACTTCCCTGCTGTAGCTTTCTTTTATTTTGAATATTCATTTTCTCCCTGCAAACTCGTCTTTTTAAACCTTTAATACGTTGAAAGGCTTATATATCTTGTTAACACCCTTCAAGTGGGGTTACAAGAGCACTAAAATTCATTGTTATGTAAAATACCGTGCAATGAACATGATGGCACGCCTGTCAGTTAGCTCTTATTTACTTGTCAGATGCTCTAAATGCATCATTCCATCTTAATATTTTATATTTTTGCACGATTTCTTGCTCATAAGGCGAAAGAATGAACAGGGAGTTTCGCCATTAATTTAGCCAACCTGCTAATCGATCGTTATGATTGCATTTTTTTTTTAACAGACGTGGCAAAACGTCACGGCGTGGGCGGGGCTTAGGATTGTCAACATCCTGATGACATAACTGGTTTCTCCAAAATGGCGACGGCGGAGCAGAGAGGAGGTCAGTGTTTGTTGTGTTTACACCATTTCTCTTACTGTCCCCATTTTTATTCCTTATTAGTTTTTAAATGTTGACATTTTTAATATGTTGAAATATGAGCTTCCGGTTGACTATGAAGTTACCCTTCATGCGAACGATATCCTACAAGCTAACGTTAATATAATACTAACCAGCATAATTCACAGGGTCTGCACATTTTAATCACCAGGTTAAAAAATGCTTACTTGTCCACTAAATTGTATTTAACACAACCTGTTATTAAATAATATATTTTGAAACGTTATGGATATGCATTTATATGAATAAATGACGATATACGTGTTGTTTTTTTAATTGCTKTTTATAATGTAAGGAACAAAAATATGTTGATATACAGTATATTAAAAACAAAATAGGCCTCTTTTCATATGTGAAAAAATAAAACCTTCTTAAAAAATCTTAAAAGTTTTGTAAATAAAAATCTTTGTTAGTTATTTGTTTGGTTATGTATTTTTTTACACCGCTGTAAATATCCAATTTAAGGCACAAATCTATAATAAAAGGTATTTAGGCTGTATTTTTGTATTTTAAGACTAAATCAAAACATTTATTATAATGCCTCACTGCAGATGAGAAAAGCTTTTCCATTTTCCCAGTGATCTGTGCTGGTAAAATTAGTCACAATGGGGAATATATATATA